GTACTGATAGCGGGCTTGTATGCAAGGTATGCAACAAGCAATTTGAAAAACAAACGACGTACGGTGCGCATATGAGCAGCCGCAAGCATCAAAAGGCTGTCGAGCGCGCAAAAGATGCGCAGCCAAATGAGAACAGTGTATTGCAGCGAGCAGGGAAGGACCGCGAGACTGCATGGAGTGAAACGGTTGTTCGCACATATGTCCAGGTGCTCGCAGCAAGAATCCGTGACACAAAGTCCAACATTGAGCGGAGACAGGCTCTAACCGAGGAGGAGCGCAACAAGGAGATTGAGGAGGAAGATGAGACAGAGTTTGTCATTGAGGAAGAGGATAAGGACGAGCAGATATACAATCCGCTCAATCTGCCTCTAGGCTGGGACGGAAAGCCTATTCCGTACTGGTTGTACAAGCTTCACGGGCTGGGCGTCAAGTTTGAGTGCGAGATCTGCGGAAACGCCGTGTACCGCGGCCGAAAGGCCTTTGAGAAGCACTTTCAGGAAACTCGGCATGCTACTAATATGAGACGGCTGGGGATCCCAAACACACGCCAGTTCCACGGAATTGTGTCTATTGAAGAGGCGCAACAGCTGTGGGAGCGCGTGCAAAAAGAAAAGAAGCAGCAGGTGGCAAACACCGATACTTTTGAAGAGTACGAGGACGGTGAAGGAAATGTATTCAACAAAAAGACATATTTTGATCTCAAGCGCCAGGGTCTGATCTAAAAGTTTGAACGCAGGGATTGGTTCCTTGGAGTATCCGGAACCAGATACACCAACCTTTTTTTCTTTTCTTTTTTTTTTAACGGCAGGGATCAATAAATTAACCACAATCGGATTACCGTATTAGTGTCGAACGCGTCAAACACTTGGTTTTCACCACTGATTTAAATGCGTCCTTGCCATTGTTTTTCTTCACCCATTTAAATTTCTTTTCTACTCCTATTTATTCTTTTCCTTTCTTTTCATTCATTTTGTTCGTTCTTTTATCTGATTTGCTCACAAATAAAAAACATATACCTGATGGCTATGCAGCTTAACACTCGTCTTGACCAGAGCCTAGACGACATTATAAAGGAAGACCGCAAGCAGCGCTCGACCAAGGGCACCAAGGCCAAGGCTGCGACCAAGCCCAGAGCTAAGCTTGCATCTGCCAAAAAGACTGCAGTTATAACCGGACGGCCAGCGGTAGGTACCAATAAAAGGCGTTTATTTGGATAGATTCGCGCCACAGACAAATGGTTACTGGCAAATGAAGCAAAAAAAATAACTGGTACTAATTTTAAAGCATCTCTTCTGCAAACAATCTTTCATCGTATTTATTGCATTACTGTTGGTTAATAGCGGCGTGTAAAAAACAAAGTAACAGCTATTTCTACATCGGACCTAGGCAGAAAGGCTTCGAAGAATGGAATTGCAGCGCGTCTTGGTACTACGGCTCTAAAGGCAAGCTCCGGCCGTGTGGCTTCTGGTCGCGTGGGATCGATGGCAGGGCGTGTTGGCAAGGCGAACCGTGTTGAAACGGCGCTTCGTTCGGCAGGTGCGGCCGACAAAAAGAAGAAGGCAGCTGATCTCCGGAGTAGGATTTCCAAGGTCGCAGAGCAAAAGAAGGCGTCCAACATTTCGATAAAGGGAGAGGCTGGACCAGCGACTATTTTTATTTCAAACCTGGATACAGACGCATCTGCAGAAGACGTCAAGATCTGCTTTAAGCAGTTTGGCGCTATTAAGGACTGCACCTTGCTGTACGACCACACTGGCAAGGCTTCGGGTCATGCCGAGGTTACTTTTTCTTCAAAGGCTGCTGCTGAAGGGGCTGCTGCCAAGCTCAACAACGTACTTGCTGATGGACGCAGACTGTCTGTTAGGATTCTCCCGGCTTCCCAGAGCCGTGTGTCTCAGCGCCCTGCTCAGACGCAGCAGGTACAGGAACCTAGACAATCCAACCCGCACTATTCAAGCAGCCGCAAGGTTAACCGCAAGCAGAACAGACGGAGCGGCGGTGGAGGAATGGACATCGACTAAGTCGACCTGTTGTCCGGTTCATTAGTAAATCATTTTTATTCTCCCAACTGGTCTTTTTCAACAGGATATGACAAAAGCAAAGCAAAGCTGAGTAGAGCAGTTCAAGCAATACAATATATTTTTTTTATTCAAAAATAAACAAACATTTTATATGTTTAGCCTAAACACTTGTCGCCAACACGTGCGCATGTGGGTTTCTGCGCAGAAACAAAATGTCTTTTAAAATGTATCAAAAGCAAAATGACTGGGGGTTTTTTTTGAAGTTTTGCTCTCTTTTTATTTCACTTGTTTGTTTTCTTTTAAATATTTTCTTTCTTTGTGATTATTCTATATTGTCTTTAAATTAACTGTAATTTAATGTCGTCTAGCAAAGTAGACTGCCATTTCTTTCTCAACAGTACCTGCCTTAAGGGCGACAAGTGCCAGTTTCGGCACAGCGAAGGGGCGCGCCAAACACACGAAGTTTGCCCTGCATTCAGAGAAACCGGCCAATGTCCTGAAGACGACTGCGGCAAAAGACATACGGTTGAGCAAATTACCCGAACAACAAAGGGTCCAGCAGATATTCCCTGCAGAAATGAGGAGAACGGTGGCGTGTGCACCCGGCCAGACTGCATTTTCAAGCACAGTCAGCGCGCTAATACACCGGCAGCAATATTAGTAGCTGGTGTGAGGCCGCCTAGACCAAGCGCGAGCGATTCTAGTGGCAACCGGTTGAATGCAGGAGCCAAGGCGTTTGTTCCTATGGGGAAGCTGGGACAGCCGAGGCCAGTTGCGCGGCCAAGACCTAATATGGAGTGGACCCCGGACAGCAACACAAACAAAGTTCAGGCTCGCACATTTGTTGGCGACAAGCAATGGAGACCCTCTGCAGCGGGTGTCCAGGGTATGACAGCAAGACCACCTGCACGGCCATTTGCAAACAAGGAATGGACACCTGCTAGCGCAGCTGCAACCGCTAGTACTGGTACTGGGGTCGAAGCGAATGCCAGTTCCAATGCCAAGGCCAATGGTTTTTCCAAGCCCAGTGGATTTGTAAGCAAGACATTTGGCCAGAGTCCTTTTGCTAGCAAGGATAGCGCATTCGGCAAGGCCAACGCTTTTGGCAATGCTGGCAATAGCATGTTTGCACGCAGCACTGGCATGCACAGGCCGCAGACTGATATATCACCTGCCGCGATGAGCGATATTGATGTCGATATCAGTAAAGATAAGGAACAAGACGATGATGATGTTATGGATGTCGATACCACGCAGGGGTCATTCGAACAGACACAGACACAGACACGGACACAGACACGGACACGGATACTGACGCAAACACAGGCGCTGGTTCGGAATCAGCAACCGACATCCGTTCCTGTCTTTAACGCATTTACCACTTTCCCTAACAAAGGGACTGCGTTTGCCAAGCCGCCTGTTTCTACAAAGAGCTCGATCCCAACTATTTTCGATATCCTTGGCATCGAAGAGCAAAAACCTGCGCCGACCAATCGCCAGCGCCGTAGCAATCCTTGGCAGACAACACAACCGTCTACCTCTGCGCAGCAGCCATTGCCAGTTCAAACAGACAGATCTGATCGCATATCGCTGACAGGATCTATCCCTGCACCAGAAGTTACCTATCCAACTGCTGAGCAAATACCAGCGTCTTCTGCTTACAAATGCAATTCTCGGCGAGACGCACAAACAGCTTACGACGCGCAGAAAACCAGTGAAGCATTGCCATCGTCTTCTTGTGACCGCTTGATGAACAATTCGCCAC